CGCGCGCTCTTTCGGATGGCGATGGACAAGAATCTCGCTTTGGCAGACCTGCACCTCCTCCTCTTCCACCCAAGGAACAGCGAGAATTCGAGAGGTTGGTAAAGGAAAAGAGCAGTGAGTGTTGGCATAGCATAGAATCTCGCAAATGTCTGGTCAAGGGCCTGCAGCACAGGGTCACAGCTACGCACGCACACATCAGCTCGGAGGGTCCTTTGCCAAAGTGGCTCTTTCCAAGCATCTTCCATTCGCGCGCTCTCTCTGACAAAAATCTTCCATTCGCCGCCCAACAGACGCCTTGCAATTCAACTCGAACGCAAGCGGAAAGGAAAGCGACGCCATTCATCCCGATGCGCGAAGGGTGCCCACGCCGGATTTTGAGGGAGACACGAATCCCAGCACGGGAGAGGTGGGAGGGCCAAAGAAGGATCCGTTGGCTTGGCAGAGGGAATGGACTTATGGCGGCAGGGCTACAGATTTCTGACTGGCGTGCATGCGCGCTGCCATGGTACATCGAGCCGGGCATCATGATCGACTTGGCCGATCGCTTGCCACCTGCATTCGAGAGCTACGCGGTGCACTTTAGCGTCAAGACGAGCGGGCCATGCCTCTGCTGCCCTGCTCTGCAATGTCTGACATCCAGTAGGAAGCTTAGAGATGCACCCCCCGCCCCGACGCCTGGGAATCTTTTGCATCCCAGATCATACTCGTGCGACCAGTCGCCGATCTCCAACAGGCAGCGCAAGCGCGCGCGCGCGTTTGCAATGATCATGCATTTTTCCATCTAGACCCAGGGGCAAAGATCGTCCGATCTGGTGCAACGATGGCATCCAAAGGTCTGTCATTTTCGTCTGTGGGGACCGTTTGAGGTTCGGCCAGAAGCTGCGGCGACAAGGACAGGGCCACTGATGGGGGGGAGCGCCAGTCCAGCAGGGGAAGCGAAGCTGCTCAGCGCGAGTGCCAAGCTCTGATGATCTGTGATTGTCTGATCGACCAATGCACCGAGGTGCGAGCCGGGGCCACGCTCGACGCCCCACGCTCCACGCTCCACTCTCGACTCACCCGAAATGGGCTCCTTTTCGGCAGCGACTCGTCTAGCTCGCGCAGCTTTGTGCAACTGAGCAAGATAACGATCGTAGTAGCCCTTTCCGTGACCCAGTCTATTGGCGTGCACATCGAACGCTACGCCGGGGACCAGGATGAGGTCCGGTGCAGTGCTCGAAGCGAGCGCTGCGAGGGTATCGCATTGCAAACGGGTGAAAAGAAAAGGTGTCACTCCTTAGCTCGTGAGCTTTCGGCAGCCGCTCGCAACGATTCCTTCACACGCACCATCTTCTCGGACGCGAGCCATCTCGACGCCGAGCTCCCTTATACCGTAAGCGTTTGGCTTGAGCGATGCATACTCTTGCACATCCCTCAACAACAACATGCGCATTTCTTCCGCGAAAGAGGATGTCCTCTTGGTCGGAGGAGGTTTTGATGGCAGTAGTGCGGGTCGCGATGCCGATGCCGATGCCGATGC